ATTCACATAATTTGTGCCCTCCTAAAATTTTTCTCTGCCTCCTTGTAATGTGCCCTAAATAATTAATCTTAGGCCTCTAGGTGTGCCTCTGAACTATTCATATTCTCGCTGTTCAGTAAGTCTTCATTGTAAGAAAGCAGTAGAGTTTGTCTTAAAACGCATTGTATGTATAGTTCGTTTAAAGATCTTGTTTCAAAGGTGAAATAAGAATAGAAAGAAAGAAATGTGAACAAGCACAAAAATGTGAGAACATTTTTGTGCTAATAATATACAACCCTTGGCAAAAATTATGGAATCACCGGCCTCGGAGGATTCAGTTGTTTAACTTTGTAGAAAAAAAGCAGATCACAGACATGACAAAAAACCAAAGTCATTTCAAATGGCAACTTTCTGGTTTCAAGAAACACTATAAGAAATCAAGAAAAAAATTGTGCAGTCAGGAACGGTTATTTTTTTAGACCAAGCAGAAAAAAAATATGGAATCACTCAATTCTAAGGAAAAAATTATGGAATCATGAAAAACAAAAGAACGCTCGAACACATCACTAGTTTTTTTTGCACCTCCTCTGGCTTTTATAACAGCTTGCAGTCTCTGAGGCATGGAATTAATGAGTGACAAACAGTACTCTTCATCAATCTGCCTGCAACTTTCTTTGATTGCTGTTGCCAGATCAGCTTTGCAGGTTGGAGCCTTGTCATGGGCCATTTTCTTCAACTTCCACCAAAGATTTTCAATTGGTTTAAGATCCGGACTCTTTGCAGGCCGTGACATTGACCTTATGTCTTTTTTTCAAGGAATGTTTTCACAGTTTTTGCTCTATGGCAAGATGAATTATCATCTAGAAAAATGATTTCATCATCCCCCAAACATCTTTCCAATTGATGGAATATAAGTGTCAAAATATCAACGTAAACTTGTGCATTTATTGAAGATGTAATGACAGCCATCTCCCCAGTGTCTTTACCTGACATGCAGCCCCATATCATCAATGACTGTTCAAATCAATGACTGTGGAAATTTGTGGACTGTGTCAATGACTGTGGAAATTTGCATGTTCTCTTAAGGCAGTCATCTTTATAAATCTCATTGGAACAGCACCAAACAATAGTTCTAGCATCATCACCTTGCCCAATGCAGATTCGAGATTCATCACTGAATATGACTTTCATCCAGTAATCCACAGTCCACGATTGTTTTTCCTTAGCCCATTGTAACCTTGTTTTTAGCGCATTTTCTCATTTATGGAATAAATGCACTATTGTGCTCGCCATGTCCGTCTGTCTGTCTGTCTGTCCGTCCGTCTGTCCGTCTGTCCGTCCGTCCGTGACCTCAAGTTTTCGTCGACGAGAAAATGCGCTCTCTGTCACTCACTGCTGTGAGTACTGTTTCTTTCTGTTTTGGTGTTAATGATGGCTTTCGTTTAGCTTTTCTGTATGTAAATCCCATTTCCTTTAAGCGATTTCTTACAGTTCGGTCACAGACATTAACTCCAGTTTCCTCCCATTCGTTCCTCATTTGTTTTGTTGTGCATTTTCGGTTTTTGAGACATATTGCTTTAAGTTTTCTGTCCTGACGCTATGATGTCTTTCTTGGTCTACCAGTATGTTTGCATTTAACAACCTTCCCATATTGTTTGTATTTGGCTCAGATTAGACCCAGCTGACTGTGAACAACCAACATCTTTTGCAACATTGCGTGATGATTTACCCTCTTTTAAGAGTTTGATAATCCTTTCCTTTGTTTCAATTGACATCTCTCGTTTTGGAGCCATGATTCATGTCAGTCCACTTGGTGCAGCAGCTCTCCAAGGTGTGATCACTCCTTTGTAGATGCAGACTAACGAGCAGATCTAAATTGATGCAGGTGTTAGTTTTGGGGATGAAAATTTACAGGGTGATTCCACAAATTTTTCCTGAGAATTGAATGATTTCATATTTTTTCCCCTCTGCTTGGTCTGAAAAAATAACCGTTACTGACTGCACAATTTTTTTCTTGATTTCTTATAGCGTTTCTTAAAGCCAGAAAGTTGCCATTTGAAATGACTTTAGTTTTGTGTCATGTCTGTGATCTTCTTTTTTTTCTACTAAGCTAAACAACTGAATGAACATCCTCCGAGGCCGGTGATTCCATAATTTTTGCCAGGGGTTGTGCAAAGATATTTGAAAGTTTTTAAAGCCAACGCCCCAAGATGTTGTTGCCCTATTATTTAATAACAACAGCAACAAATAATTAAAATTGAATTGAATTTAAACGTAAGGAACTCAATTGATTTATTTTTCTCAGTCGACGAGTCATCCAACACCCTCGTGATTGTGCTGTCGTCCGTCCTGGGAGGCTTGTTGCTCATCGTCCTGGTGGTTCTGCTGGTGTGAGTACACGTCTTGCGCGTCGAGTATTGTACGGCAAATTCTTATTATTCTTCAATAGCAGGTTGCTATTCAACGATTATCATAGATTAAAGTCAGTGGCTTCTGGATTTTTCATATCTTTGCGAACATCAAAACAACGAGGTTACATAATTTCTTCCTCTTTGCAGAGTATTTTTGAAATCACGGAATAAAAAAACAAAAACTTCGTCGAAGACTGGCGAAATTGAATTGCAGGAAAACCGGGATGGGAATAATTCTGAGCCAATAGACGCTTCAAATAATGCAATAAGCACCAATCCTGAGGACGAAAGAGATTCAAGTGTATCAGTCAATCCGATTGTGCTGCACCCTCCGATTGACCGTCAGGGCGCCGGGTTTGGCACAGTACAGCCGCCCGGAGGCTCAACAAATCTTCACAGTTTGAATCCCAACGACTTGCCTGGACAGGCTGCTTACCGTTCGTCAGCTCTTCAAGCACCAGGACCTCGCCCAACGGATCCTTACCCAAGGACTGCTCCTCAACCTTCGTATCCCTACCCTGCAGCAGGCCCACCACGCCGGCGAAATGAGTCAGCGTCGCCACCACGCATGTCACGTCGTAGCGCTTACGACCAAAGGCGCGATGCTCAAAATCGTGACCAGAGACCGCCACCTCGACGCGGGTCAGTGGATCCTCGAATGGCTTACCCTCGAAATCCCGACAACCGACCTGCCGCGCCTCAGTACAGAGATGCTGCTGGTGCACCGCGCCCCTACACCCAAAGAAACCGAAGCGCTGATATGGCGCCAAGATCTCTCCCTAGGTTGACTTCACCATCAGCGAGACCTCCTATAAATCCGGCCAAAATGGAATACGGAAGGGACGCTGGTCATCCATCCTTAAATAGAAGTCTGCCTCCTACAAGTAAGTATATCCTCTATATATTTAGTGCACAGCGAATGTATCTTCCGACTGATATCGTAGCTCACTTCCTACGTGGTTTGGATTAAGAGTTATTTTTGCGTAGCCCGCCATCAATTCTTATTGACTTATACCATATATCAAATATATTTATATTTTGAATCTATTTTGTTTCTGTACCTCTTGTGGGCATGATTATTCAAATTAGCCTACTCTTTCTCTGAATGATCGCCAATCTCTAATGGTGGATGAGTGTGACTTAGAAACTGTTTGGTTATGCTAGATGCATTTAATATGACACAACATCGCTCTCTGAATATGGTAAAGCTAAGAAATCCAGCATAACACAGATTGGTGATTGTGTAAGAAATATCAAGGATCGAACTAATGTTCTATAAATTTTCACAAAATATTTATTAATTTGATCTTCATTCCATTCAGGCGCAGGTCAAAGCCGTCCAGGTCCCGGGGCTCCGTACCGCGCTTCAGATCCGCGCTACCGCTCGCCTGAAGCTCAGTATCGCTCAGCGCCTCGCACGTCGTCCGATGTTCGACGACCGAGGTCCAGCAACAACTTCTAATGAGGAGTTGGAGAGATGCTACTGCAAATTTATAAGTGTCATCTTTGCGCGTTTCGATGTTTAATTTACTTCCATGACGGGTTTTCTGAAATAAACTTGACAAGACTAAAATTTACATGTGACTTTTAATGGCAAGCAGAATAAAAAGGCTCGTTGGATGCGGTCTAAAAAGTATAATTCTTTCTTTTGTCACAATGAGAGTTTCAGCGATCCAAAGAGCAATGATGGGTCAATCTGCCCTAGTAGATTTTTGGACGCTCAATACGTCTTTGATAATATAATCATTGATTAGCATGCATTACTATTCAACTCTTGTAAAGCCTGGTTATTCTGCATGTTCATTATAAGATAAGAAGGTACGCAAAGTGTAGATGATGTGATGATTGAAATTTTAATCATCCTAATTTTTTGAGTGGAGCTCAATTTTTGGTTCAATATTGAATGAAAATTTACTAACTTCAATTATAATATAAGTTAAATTTTAAAGTAGTTATATATTATTACTGACGGTAAATTTTTACTCGATAAAATAAATTTCATTTTTTGATCAATGCAGCACCAACTATGTGGCGAATTTAATTTTTAGAACAAGATGTACTATTAATATCACAACAATTCCTAAATAAACGTCCTATGCAAATCAGAGAAAAAGTCGCATTGCTCAAAGCGCCATTAAATAATAATCCTAATTCAACTTATTGAAGAAGTTGCAAATTCATAGGAATCAAGATAAAATTGCAGAAAATTATTAATATTTTATTCATATCAAAATTATTCATATTACTGAATGAATAATGAAGGAAACATTCATGAAGCGCGAATGTTAGATGAAATAAAATTTTATTGAAAAGATATAGAAAATGTGTGTGAGATGAATTTAAAATCGACAGAAAACGTAGCAGGTAAATTTAAGGAAACTTTATGAATAACACAATATAAGTAAAAACATATTATAATTATCAAAAATTTCTTTTTTTTTTTGTAAGTGTCAGCATAACTCCAAGTGAGGTTTCATACAAACGAAAAATACAAGCAATCAAACATAATAACACCGTGGAAATCTAAAAATAAAATAAGGATGTAGGTATATTTATGGATTCATTTTGCGGCGTAGTAAGTTTCTTAGCCGGCCATGCACGCTGGGTGATGTCTCTGCCCAACGCCTTGAATTACAACTTGAACCTGCAAAAAAAAAGGCTTTATTTAACTCCGTTTCTAAACATGAATTATTCTAACTCTAAGGAAAAAATTCATATAATTTTAAGTAGATTTATTTCTTGCTTTTTCACTGATTACAATGATGTGCGACTGTTTTAAATGGTTCAACAAACAGATTCCATTAATTGTATGCATCATTCACGAATTAATGCGCGTTTTATTGTTTAGCTATTAGTGATGGAGTATACGTATTTATCGCTGCTTAATAAATTTTAAATGATTAATCAAAGCCTCTGAATAAATACCTCTCTTTTTCCTCTTTTTCAAAATCGAAGTCCTAGAATCATTTGAGTACATCCTGAAAGTACAGAAAACGATGAAAAAACATGCAACAAGTGATAGAAGCTGAGATTTGTAACAACATATAACCGTACAATTTTATTCTTAAATGAAGTTATAGAAACTCGTCCGCAGTTGAGAGAAGAATTTAGGAGAAAACGAGCTTTTAATTAGTATGTCGGTGCAACCAAGAGACCCGGATAACCCAGACTGTTTATGACGAAATCGAGGCTTCAGCATCTAAAAAATAAATTTTAATTAATAAATTAAGATGAAATGCAAACTCTTACCGTCACACATGGCAAAATTTTATTTGTGCGAGTCTTCTGACGGTATGCATTTTGATTTTTGAAGCTTTGGATGCCTGTCCATAAAGAGAGCAACTCCATGACAGTTAATTCTAATCAATACTGTCGACGGATAGCTCTCTTCATAGTACAGGATCTTTGTGCACAGCTCTCTTCATAGTACAGGATCTTTGTGCACAGCTCTCTTCATAGTACAGGATCTTTGTGCACAGCTCTCTTCATAGTGCAGGATCTTTGTGTACAGCTCTCTTCACAGTGCAGGATCTTTGTGCACAGCTCTCTTCACAGTGCAGGATCTTTGTGTACAGCTCTCTTCACAGTCCAGGATCTTTGTGCACAGCTCTCTTCACAGTGCAGGATCTTTGTGTACAGCTCTCTTCACAGTGCAGGATCTTTGTTCACAGCTCTCTTCACAGTGCAGGATCTTTGTTCACAGCTCTCTTCACAGTGCAGGATCTTTGTGCACAGTTCTCTTCATAGTACAGGATCTTTGTGCAGGGCCATCTTACCATACAAACAGGTGTCGTAGGAGCCATCGGTACAAACTTCAATGGTCTCATGAGCTTCAAAATTCCGCAGAACTACATACATCTTCAATTTCCCGACGAATTTCCTTGAAGTTTATCCATCATTTATGATCGATTTTTAACCACAACTTTCAGGGAAGATTTCAATTTTCCTGATCAGAAATCAATTAACTTGTCATATTTAGGCGGTGCTTACATTGTGACCTTAATTGCCTCCAGGAGGTGACGAGGTATTATCGGTAAAATATCTACATTATTTTTCTTAGACGCTGCAAGGACGTGATTGATTGACTGTCCGCCACATTAATTGAATTAAATGCTGCCAGGGTTCAGTAGATAAGGCGGAAATTCCGACAATGATTTCTTAGTTCGGTTAAATTTTTGTGTAAATTCGAGGTTTCGGCTCGGTGATTCGTGTATAAAATTCCCTCCGATTATACACTATCAGTTTGAAATAGTTTCATGAGATAAAACTATGGCTGTTTTGAAACACAGCATAAATCATCTTGTCCACTGGGCTGGTATATCATTGGAACAAAATTTTGTATTTCCAAATCTTTGTTCCACCAACGAAGCCTTTATGTTTTAATGTCATCGTTGACACTCCGAGCACACAAGTGAAAGCTTCATTAATATTCCACTGGAGTTCCATTATGGAGGCGCTTCACTGGAGCAGTCGCGTTGTCTTCAATATGAATTAAGTGGCTCAGCCGTAAGCTCCTCACGTGCACAATTCTTTCCAACACTAAAAATCTGGAAGTTGGCGCTGATGAAAATTGTGGTACTAGCGAGATTTTCTTGAAACCACATCATTAACTTGAGTTGCAGTATGTTGAAAATTGTTGTTTTATCGGTATGTTTTAAACGAAGAATTTAGTAACTTCATTGAGGCACCAGTCAATGCTAAGGGGAAATTTCACTTAGTTGAGCACCTCGCTAATACGAATATGCGAGTATTATTTTCATTGTTCTTCATTTTTTTTCACAAAGCTTTCGACTTTTTCGACGAGCCAAATAAGTGTTATTGAAGTATAATCTATTTTTTTTATTTTACATACGAATTTTATATTCATGACGGTTTATATTCATATTATATTCATTCACGTTATATTCATGACGGTTTATATTCATGACGGTTTATATTCATGACGGTTAAGGATGATAAAGTGGGCTGAACTTCAAAGGTTCAGTTACCTGCTATAAAAAGGATAGTGAGAAGAGGAGTCCGAAGAAGATGATGAAGAAATTAACGGGCGAAAAGCTGGAAAGATTAAAAAAGAGATACATAAAGGATTTTGATATAGATATAAGAAGTGGAAGAATAGGAAAATAAAGCAGGAAGATATATAGAGATATAAGAAAGTGGATGATGCCAGCGTACTAGGGGTCCGAGCTGGCCTCTCAACTCGATGCTTCCTGCGTGAGGACATGAGGGCTTCCGTGTTGTATCTCTCCTGTGATCTGAGCGACGCTCGGCCGTCGACGATGTCATCGTGGTCTGGCGCTCGATCAATCGAGAAATATAGCATTTGGGGAATTGGAGGTATTAACATGGACATCGTACATGTTAATTATGATCATTATAATGCTGAAGTGACAATTTAAATAAAGTAAAAGAGACATAAAACTAAAGAATTCTATTATAAATGGTAAAAGAAGAAAAACTGTCCTATCTAAATTTTCGAGAGGGGTGAAATTAGTGTAACTACCAGAGAAGTAAAATCTGGCTTGACGGTGACATTCTAAACGCACATTCCGGCACTTCAGTGATGCATACCGTACTAATTACCACATCGTGAAACGCTTGCATGGCTCATGATACGCAAGTAACGCACGCGGTGGCCTAAGTTCGACAATACAAACAAGTGATAATAACGTAACTCGTGACCCGTGCGCACGATCTTGTTAGGTAAGCAGTGCGCATGAGGCTTCATATCATCAAATATGCGCACCAGCGGTTGTAATGAGCACCGAAACCTGAGCCTATGGCTGTAGTCGTGCTGCAACATAATTATTTGTTAATAATACATCTGGTGATTGATGACGTTAGTGCTAATAAGTTTTCGCTCTCTGTGAGATGACATCAAATTTTCAGTAGTAGTCCTTTTACTAATGATGTAAACTTTAACATTAAAAACCGACGGTTACAGAACCCAGATACAATCCTGCGCAAACTACTCACTTTATCGTATAATTCTGCAATCAAGTCTTCAGCATTCGAGAATTTCTCTAGTGAGAATTAGAACCCACATCACGCTAAGGTTCTTCATTGTTTATGTGTGGCACGCAACTCGAATAACTTACATGTCTGGTGAAGCAACAGCAAGTGAGGCAATACCACGCTGTCAACGATTATATTTTCGTAAAAAATCGTCGCTAAAAGCAAAAATGAAGCCTCTCGTGCTTAGAAGCCATGACTAAAATTCTTTAAGGTTTACACCAAAATTAAATCCAAATACTGAATATAAATTTCTCGCACCTAGCAAAATAAATAAATGAAATGGGTTCATTGCATAAGAGATAGTGTACATGAGAATAAGACTGCAATACGACAAAGGAAAAGTATTCAGTTCGGAAATGCTTTGTTGGTTTAGAGTACGGTATCCTATTTACACAACCTAGTGTAGGGCCTCTCAAGCTGAACCAATCTAATGACAGGATGGAAGCAAATATTTAAAAGATGGAGAATATGTAGATTCAGGAAGTTTATCACATGTAAAATGGTGCGAAAAGAGAAATAATGTATCACAGTACCGATTTTAGCGCCTTCTGACACAGAATTTGTTCGTTTAGCACTTGCCAGGGAGAGTCGCAGCCCCGTTGATTTTTTTCATGCAACACTCTTCCGTTGTTATCAGACATTATATGCTAATCTGATGATTGTTTAGCGCAATCAATAAAGTTGTCATGTAATCAAGATTTAAATTTCTTTATGAGCTATTTCAATTTTTCCTAATGCTCCTAATAATATGGAAATCATAATGATAGCTGTAAGACAATCCTACCAAATGGACTGAAAAGAATTCGACATGTAAGGAGGCATTATGTAATTGGAGTGGAATTTAATATACTCTCGGCATGTAAAGTTTTGAGAAGTGGAGATAAGAAGACGACGACAATATATTGGTTACACACTTACTGAAAAATGTAATGGGGACTCACGGAGCTCGCCAAGGGACGAGGAAGACGCTGAATACGACCGAGACACGGTCGGACAACCGCGCTCGACGGAGACTGAAGCTCGAGTGATGCTGCCGTGCGGTTGCCGCGGAGTCGCCGGCACCGCCTCCGAGTAGAATACACAATCGCGTATCCGGCGATCCGGATCTCGCAATGATCGGCGAGAAGACGTTTACGGACTTTTTTTTTTAATTAACTTAATAGCTAGGCTTTGAACTTCGTTCGCCTTTTGTGCTAGAATAGGCCGTTACGTTTTACGTTTATGTTGGGTAATACCCACTTGCTTTTAGCTCATATAGACGAAAGAACAATTAGATGAACCATAATTCTTTCCAATTATGCAGTAATTCATAGAATCGCTTGTTAAGCTAAAACAATTTATATCGTTTTTACGTCACACCTGAAATCACGCTAGTTTTTGATACAGAGAAGTGAATCAGTGCGACCATCGATTCAGATTGTCACTCTCTCGATTCATTAAATCAGCTTTGAAGAATGACTCAACATAGTATTTTAAAAGTAATATGAAATTCTCTAATCAGCGTCGCGTTTCAAATTCGTGTTTTTTAATAAATCGGACCCTATAAAAATGTAGGAAAGAATCGTACGTAAAATATTGGGGTATCGTCGCAGCGGTCTTGTTCTCTGTGGTGATGAAGGCGTTGTCGGGGCCGTGGTGAGCTGCCCGCGGTCGTGACTAGAATGACAAGTGCGGCAACTGCTGCCGTCATGTGCTGGGCGCTCGAGCTCAGTACAGTGACTTCTCTCCCTAGCGATGTGAATTACTTTCAAAAATATTGCTTAGAAAGAATTTAATAAGAAAAAATGCTTTAAAGGAAAACATGGCACGAAAAGGAAAAGAATTGGCGGCAGGCCACATCAGGCCTGCACTTCAGCGCTGAGATCACTATGTTATGTTATGTTATGTTAAACAACATAGATAAAATATATACATATGTTATTTAAAATAAATTTTGTAAGCATCATATATATACGTCATGCTCCATAATATTTTTCTGTAATTATTTCAATTTTCTCTTCTTGCACAAGAAGAATGCTTAAATATAATTCAGTGATGAACTGATTCAAGATTATTGTGTATGGCAGGTTCAGGTTAACTGCAAGATCTTTTTTTTTTCTTAGATCTGGTAAACTCCGAGATTTTTCACATGTGATCTATATTTATTTGTCAAAGAATGTACGTTGAACTCAATCGATAATTGAAGTCCTTACCACAAATTAATTATAAGAGTATCAGCACGAAGTTATTCTGTTACAAAGCTAACCGCATCCTTGACGAACTGATGCATGCCCAATAACTGCACATATGTACTGAAGACGAAGTAATTTTGCTGCAGACTCTTTAGCACATGACGGTCACAGCACTACGATCGTGCACAGCAGCACTGCATGCTACAACACAGCACATGCGTGTTTCAACAGTGCATAAGTTTTCTTCATTGGAAATACGTATAGCAACATTACACCCGCAAACTACAACACCTTATATGCTGTCTGCATCACATCGCGCGCGTGGTGCATGGCTTCTGTAAGGTTATTAAGTGCCACAACTCTACGTCACCTGCTGCAACACTGCACAATATACTTCTACAGTTGCATACTTGCTGCAACCCTCAATAAGCTTTCTGTGGCGACATTTCGTATTACCACTTCGATCGTGCATTGCATCAACGATGTATGCTTTAACTCTGTGCAGAAATTTTGCACGACTGTACAACTTTCAGCAAGACTGCACTTGTTTACAGCAAGACTGTACGTGCATGCAAGACTGTTCATTGTACAAACTTCCCAAGTTGTATGTGCTCGCCTATATTCTTATATTCGACAGCAGCACACGACTATGTACTGCAACACAGCTAGGCTGTAGCAGCAGGGCAGCGTCAGCAAGCCACCGCCTACCTGTCAGTGTCAGGTGACAGCGCCGCTGCCAGCAGGTGTGTCAGGTGACAGCCGCTGTGTCAGCAGGTGTGTCAGGTGACAGCGCCGCTGCCAGCAGGTGTGTCAGGTGACAGCCGCTGTGTCAGCAGCTGTGAACGACTCAACACGTGCGCCTTGTACGGACCACATCACCTTCAGTGATTCCCAGCATCTTTAATTTGTATTGTTAACTGCTACTCTGCTGTTATAGCTGTGTCTGTCATTGATTTTTAGGGAAGTAACCTGCAACTGTTAAAGTTATAGCACATGGTTTGAATATTCGTTTTGTAGTGAAGCAACGCTTAAATACAATACTTGAATATTATACTTTATACATGATTAAAGCCATCCTAGTGGCAAAATTTTATATAATTGGATAAAAACTTGATTAGCAAATGAAATTTCATTTGATTTACTTACAACATATTGTTCTACAACAACAAAATATGTTATTACAAACTCATACCATATTTGTTTTAATCAATGAATTCGCAAACTATTAACAATCGCATATGAAATTGACAAGAATTTTTGAAAATCTAGGAGCAAATATATGAACAAAACCTGTATCTATCAAATAACAGTTCGATGATTTTTGTAAACCAGGATTTATTTCAGTAAGAAATCAAACAAGGCCTTCGTATCAACGACTACGACGCCTTGCGCCAACGTCAGATATTGCTTCATGCATTGCTCAACAGTTACCCGGGACACTGGAATGTGAGATATATTTCAACACATGGCGCCGTAAAATGAAACTTGAAGTTCAATAATTTATCAAGTTCTATGAGCGTGACGACGATATTTGTTAAAAAATATCATGATCAAAATATAGTCTTATCATATTATTTGAAGGACAGCGAAATTTATTTTGAACTTTGATATCAACGACATCAATTAAACGACATCAATTTTAAAGTTTGTATCTAAACTTCACTAGTACCACTGATTGCTATTAACTAGTGTTGGGGTCACCGGGACTCGCTAATTCAGCTTCCATGACCGTACTTACAACTATACAAGGATGAATAAAATAATATATAAAAACTTTAATGATAAACAAACTTCAAATGCACATGTACAAGAAACTATGAACCGTGTGTTTCCTTAGCTCATGTGTATTGAATCGGGATCTAGACTCAGGTTAGGATTCAAGATTCGGAGCCTTCCTGATGTTAATAAATTAACAATAATTTAGAACTGGCAAGAATTGAACAACAAAAGCAGAATATAATGCAAACAATATAAATAAATAATAGACATAAATAATAATAATGAACACCTTTAAACAGCACTACCGAATTGAAACAAAAATTATCACAAAAATAAACAGACCAAATGATACAGTAACGCATACCTCAGTGGTGGATCACACAGCAATGAATAAGTGCAAAGCAAATATGAACGAGGGCACGTCCGAGGTGACTTGATACCAAAAATAGGAATACTTTACTGTAATAAAAAACTATTGCTCTGCTTCCCTTAGCGCTAGAAGAATGAATCGTGAAAATTTCCTTCTCTATTTATGCTTCCACTTGAAACTTTAACGATTCATTTTGCATTTAATTCCAGGAGTAACGTATGTGAATTTTATTTCAACTGATGTCTAACAGTTTCTGGAGATATATTTTAATATAATCTAAAGTATTTAGTAAGTTCATCAATCAAACAATCATTTTTATTAATGATGACTTGACTAATTTAAATTAATTATTAATTGAATCATCCATAAAAATAATAATAATTATAATTTAAATTGATGCCTGATAGTAAACTCACTGCGTCCTAGAGCTGGAAACTTGCTGACCGCGCTGTATAATATCAACCAAATCTGTATGTATCAAACCATATGCACCACTGAATTAACGTATATGGTAACAACACATAGTAAAATCTTTTGTTAAACGAAATTAACTCAAGTTTACTTTACTTAATTCAATCCTGGCTATTTACTTGTATTGTTATAACCTAGGACTAATTTTTATACCGATGATACTCAAGTTAAAGTGCCTGCAATTCGATAACCTATATTTTTATAAAGAAATTTGGTAAAAAATTTTATTTGGTAAAAAGCAATGACCAAAAATTAACAAAGCTTATATGACTATGAATGCTCCTTGTAAAGTGGCAGACTAGCGATGGTTTGTTGAGTGGCTGACTAGTGTCGGTAAGTCGAGTGGAAGCCAGTTGCGGTAAGTCGAGTGGCAGACTAGTTTCTGTAAGTCGAGTGGCAGCCTAGTTTCTGTAAGTCGAGTGGCAGACTAGTTTCTGTACGTCGAATGGCAGACTAGTTTCTGTAAGTCGAATGGCAGACTGGTGTCGGTAAGTCGAATGGCTTCGGCTGACGAAGTCAAGAGGCAGGCTAGTGTCAGTAAGTAGAGTGCCAGACTAGTGTCGGTGAGTAGAACTGCAGGCTAGTGTCGGTAAGTAGAGTGCCAGACTAGTGTCGGTGAGTAGAACTGGTGGCTAGTGTCGGTAAGTCGAGTGGCAGACTAGCTAGTGTCAGTAACTTGAGTGGCCGGCTAGTGTTGGGAAGTTTATTGACTATTGACAGGTTTGCGCCGAAAATTTGCGGCCGAATTACACACGTATTAAAAATTTACTCGTACATAGTCTTTAAAAACTTAGTCATTTAACTAAACAAAACTCAACTTAACTTTTACTAAAGTCATTTAACTAAACTTTGGTGTCTATGAGGTTACAAATGTTATAGGTCTAGGCGAGGATATTTGCGTAGAGGGCGGGTAGGTTGGTGTCATTGGAGTGGGGCGGCAGATGAGCTACGTTTGGGGAGAAGGGAGTCTGGGTCCTTGTGTGCCACACCAACACCTGTATAATATCAAAATCTTTATCGAAATTCGATTAAAATTAATATTTATTGCTGCTAGCTAGACTTAATGAACTCAAGTTTTTCATTAATTCTCTGATTGATTTGTTTTCGCTGTTATTTGATCAGATGTTATCATACTATCATATCCTGCACTGCGCAAAATCATACGGGTATCAAAACCCCTTTAGAACAAAGCTGAAGGCACTCGTGCTATTCGAGCTATTGACCTGCGCCTGAACTGACCTCAGTGCAGTCGTGCGCTAAAGGTTCGAGGTCGTCAAGTGAAGTTCCTAGAGCTCTCAGGAAACCGTCCTCAAGGTAAGACACCAGAAGCGGTATCGTCGCGTTCGGTTTTCTGTACAGAAACTCCAGGTTGACGGCGAAACCAGCCATGTCGACAGCGAATTTTCGGAGAGCCTGCGTATGTTAAGAATTGAGCGAAATTTGACTGAACTGGAAATAACTTCTCACAGAATAATTTTGGTTCATTAACAACTAATCCCCATGTTCAATGGATTTACATTATGCAGTGTAGATTACGTGAGAGTAAAGCGCTATTCAGAATGAATGACGTAAATAACAAATATTTAGAAATAATAGAAATGGTCTCATGCAGTCGCACCATGAACGTCATTCAAGCACATTCAGAATAAAAATATTGTGGTATAATTCTTTTGGATCGGTCAATTTATATTGAATGCCGGACGAATATTGATATAAAGTTTGAGTTGAGTAAGTACTACAAAAGTATACCGTCCCAAATAAATCCTAAAAATTTTATCCTTCGTTTCCTAATTACATGCCAAAAAGTTATTAATGGAATCGAAATTAAGTTAAAATCGATACTCTCAGTGTACCTCTAAGTTTAGCTTGGTATCGCTTACGGAATAGAATGCTACCGTTCTCCATAAGACTCTACTAGTACTTTACTCTTGGTGTGAGGTAAGAAAAACTTACTCGCGGTAAGAAAAACATGATTTCTCTTCATCTTATAAAGAAAGGAAACATCCCATTAAGTCGAAAACAATCTAGAAATCTTTGTTTCTGATGTACAGCGTTCACATGCCAGTAACACACAAAAAAGCAACATTAACAGCTGCAACAAAATAAGCAACGAGCAGTGACGGTTAAGGCAGTTCATCTGCCGCTAAAGGGAGAGGTTGAGCAGAGGCCGAGAGCAGCACGCTGGCTCATTAAAGCGACGGTTGTGCTCAGCCACGTTGCAGGAGCGGGTGAAGGCGTGAGCAGAATACCAGTGGCAACCGCCACAGCCGTCGCACTCTTGAGGAGCATAACAATCGCTGTCCACGTCGCAATCCTCTTCATCACTATCAGATACACTCTAAATTATTTAATTTCAGTGTTCCCTATAGTACTATTTATTGTATTGTGATAACTTGAGGATCATAGGAGTATGAGAAAATGTTCTCACTATGCTAATAGCTTGCATCATTATAATGGTAATAACTTTTGGAGGAGTTCTTTCCATAAATCTGAGTCTTACTATAGAATCCCTTGTTTTAACAAAGGAGCCTCTTCAATAGAAAATACACAATTAGTAATTTAAAGTCATGCATATTTTAAATGGGTGTTCTCTCGTTACGTATTTGTCAAATGGTGAACACGCTTATTTTAACACCTGACACTGTTCAAAAGAAAGTCGCAGAGCGTAATTTGAGGTCAATTTGTCTCTCATAAGTATTGCAAATAACCCGCAATAATTATTAGCTGTAAATGCTGTTTTTGATGACGGACATTTATATTTATGTTTGACAGATTCATTACTGAGATTTCCTACTTGTTTTCACTTTTCAATGCTTAACTTGAAAAAGTGTTCGTCTCCATTTATCAATGACATTTTTATGTATGAGGAGCAATAGATATCCTACATAAAATTTCTCATGAAGCAATGTATGCGAAGCAATCCAAGTTCATCTAAGAGCTAATTGTGACCAAACAATGTACGGTATTGATCGCTACATTAAATTACCGGTCACATGTCGCCCCATTCTTGGCTGCTGCAAGAAGGACGTAAGATCCTGGATATAACACGCTACAGGAATCCCAAAGTTCGAGAGTAATATAGGAGCTGATTTCTTTCTTTTCTGGAATGAGTACTTTGGCCATGCTACCCGTCGTTTGGCTTTAACTTAGTGGATATCAAACGAACGAGAAATTCATTTAGCATGAAAAGTACGACTTATAATTCAGCCCATGTTTCTCTGGCAACTGAAACAGAATCGTTGAACACCAGAGCAGCGAATCAACAAGGTATTTTTATCGTTAAAAAAAATACAAAGAGTCTACTTTTAAAGAATACAACGATTCGTCATAATCAAGAATGGAAAAATCACTTAGCCTATTACTTATAACTAGAATTAGAGCGAATAAATTACAGATCGCAACCGAATTTTGAGGGATTGAACGTAAATTCAGTTGCAAATCAGACATCGATATTTTAAATAATATGCCTTTGTTACCAGTTGTGTAGCTCCAGACTTGTCTATAAGACGGCAGGTTGCATTAGGAAATTAGATTGGTTTTCTTATGTCGGGAGATAAAGTGCTTTCCTAATGCGAGATAAAGGACCTATGAATATTCTTTAAAATAAGGCCTAGTCAAAGCATATTTATTTCGTGGTCGCACGAAAGTCATAATGTAGCATATGGATGTTAATAAGAGAAATTGAAATGTATATATAAAATGTGGAAAAATTACTTAAATATGAAATTATAATAATTGGGAGGATTTAACATATAATGATTATACGATTACTTAAATAACATTAAATAATGAAAGAACAACAAAGATTAGGCAAAAAATTCAATAACGGTGATAAGTCTGGGTTATCAATCTATGCTAACGATACGAAGCATAGTTGTTTAACTCTGGTAACGTACTAATTAATGGTTAATTATAGCTAGAGCAATAACGGTAACATAATAGTGATTGGATTGGTTACTCAATGACAAAATCATGGGCTAAGTATCCTAACTCTGAAATTTGTTACCTAATACCTGTAACCTGATTAGTTACCCAACGCAGGTATAATGAGGAGCTACCTAACACCAATGTAATAGAGGTAATGTAATAATGATCGAGAGGCTTAGTTACTTAACGCTAGTAGCATAATATTGAAGGGGTTAACTAATGGGGCTACCATAATTCGTCTACTAAAAACGGTAACTTAATATAGTGCTTAGGCCAAGTTACTTACCAATTTTAAAATAACAAAGATAGGACTATTTTATAAACGATTGTAATTGAAGAATGATAAGGTAGCTTAAATAATAATGTTCAATATACAAATATTGATATAAGAGTTCCATTTTATCGATTTTATCGAAAATTCATTCACCTGGAAGGCGTCGTGAAAGCCGACGACCTTATGTTGACGTACAATAGGCGAACTGATGCCGTACTCTAGGATCATCCCAACGGGGAACACCGAGACCTTCTGCGTGCTGCGGATCTGAAGAAAAAACATGGCATGAAACTGCAATGGAGGACTATTCTATGATCTCAATATACCTAATTTATTTTCTGTATTTCAGCCTTTATTAATACCGGCTTCTTATAGTGCAATAGAAACGCACTCAGATTAGCATTTAAGCATTATATTTAGTAAATATTTATGACAATCTTTGAATTTTTAATGATAACGATTTAGTAGAGAGTGTTCAAAGAAGTGCAACAAAGATAATTCCGGGATCAAAATGTAAGTCTTATGAAGAAAGATTAAAGATTATGAAGCTTCCAGGCCTCTGTTATCGACGTCGGCGTGGGGACCTCATTGAAGTATATAAGCATACCCACGATTTACACAAGGTCCCCGAAAGATTGCTAGAATTTGAAACAAGAACTAACTCCAGGGGCCACGGCTATAAACTAAAAAAACTGCGCTGCTACCTCTCCACGCGACAACATTTCTTCTCGCTTCGAATCACCGACATGTGGAACAGCCTCCCTGATAGCATCGTTGGCGCTCCGAGTATGAATGCCTTCAAGAATAGACTAGACGAAGCTATGCAGGAGCATATTTTCAGTCATGAAATGCCTAGCACCTTACGAGCCTTGCAATAAGTCCAGCAGCTATCTCAATCAATCGTCAGTTATGGAAAGATCGGGTTCATAAGGCCGGATCCCTTGTGAATCAAGTCACGAAAAGTACGAAAATCGGCAACAGGCCATGCATGGGCATATTTCTTCAGTGCCGACACTTCTATTCTATTCTATTTGTAAATTTGCTGGAACAGAAAAGTGGACTGCCTTTAAAGGGTCAATCAATATCTTAAAAGCTAGAGTAAAAAACAATAGGAAAGGAATAAATTGGCTTAAGATTGAATAAGACTCAAGTTTATTCTCAAGTTTATTAATACCTCAAATAATAATCACCTGTTGAAATAATCTGATGTCGTAGGAGTTGTCATCGTCAGCAAAATAGAGCACTCCTCGCTTCTCGTGGGCACGGAGCCAGTCTAGCGCTGCGCGTCTGAGAGCAATAATGAGCATGAGATATGGCTAAGCTTGATGAGAACTTCACTGTCTATTGACAATTTATATAAAATAATATAATATAATATGAGAGGGTTCCGCAACTGATTGACATGTTTCATTAAATAATTGATTGATATAACGAAAAATGTTTTCAGTGATAATCGCACCTGTTGAAGACCCCGCGCCCCACGTCGGGATCGTTCCTGTATCTCGCAGGCGTAGCGGCCGCCATGTAGCGGTGGGGGAGCCCTGAGCGCTGCAGCAGCTGCGCCACGGGCAGCTGGGTGGTCTACGGCAGGCGAGTTAGGAAATAAGTTCCTATATCACTAGTGTGCTTGAATCGTAAATTCAAGAAGAATAAATTCCCTAAGAATTTAAAGCAAAGAAAACACCAAACAAGTTCACCATATTTTAAATGATAACATTTCGGAGACCAGCTCAATTATCAGATCAAAACTGTCTTGACGTTATTGTCAAGCTTTTGCATTAAAATTCTTGGCGAGTTCACGTATTTTGGAATGACGTCTTCACTAGAGGGTAAAGTCAAATTAAGTTTCTAATTATTTCAAATTAATAGCATAGACGCAGTTAGCAAAATTCCGGCCTTCATTTGACCGAAAAAATTAATAAAATTTTCAGATAGAAAAATTGACTTGAATTGATCCTACTTGCGCCAGTTACAAATATTTTTCTAAGCCTCACCTCGCCATCTTCAACGACCAGCCAGAAAATAAAATCCAGGTTCATCAGCGTCTGCGAGAGTCGCGTCAGGTCCGCCATCTGCGTGGGGCGGCGGTAGGTTGGCGTCACGACGAATACCGTGGGGCTAGACCACGGCAGCTGCAGGCCGGAATACTTCTTTTTAATGTGGCTTCTCAGCCCCGACCAGAGACTAGAGTTGCCGAGCATAAAGGGTGCTTCTGTCTCATCCGAAATATTGTGCACTGCGGTTGGGTGCTCAGGCGTACATTGAATGTTCGTTGAATATAGGAGATTTGAGTGCAAATAATATGTGATTTGAATAACTTGTACGATAAGAAGAATATAAAGTAGCATTGTTTTAGTAAAGCGAACTGACATGCTGCGCACAAAACTTTATGTCTGTTTATAACATGAGCTTTTTTAGTGCGTTCATCAATATTTTATCGAACGCTTAGCTGAAATTTGAGACGATGTTTTATGACGACGTTTCTTGGCAAAATTAGCTGAGCGCTTCGATGGGAACTCATTTCGTGTTAACGCAAATCATATATTTAAATCTCACGAGTTGTGTTTCGCCTAGGGGCCACATTTTCATAGAATGTTTTATCCACACACCAAATGATCAACCTGAAGACTAAAGTGCAACTGCGTGCAGTCTTCTTGTTGAGTACAACAAGACCGAACCGAGCTTAGCAGCACATGTGCTAGAATTGTACTTCTTGCAGTGTCATGTCAGTTCATTACCTTGTGTTCATGACAGGAGACGGAACTTCACAGGTGTCACAGGTAATAAAGCCTCAAGATTTGCAATCGGACAAGGAAAAGCATGAATTAAGCTACTAGAGAAGCGACCACAGAAATTAAGTTTCGCTCTTCAATGTTTCGAGCCTGATCATATTTTCTGGGTGAGTTTACTACGTAATTCCACATAATAATTAGACTAGTAAGTTCTTCATCCGTGTAAATATTACCAAGAATCGTATCAAAGAATGAGGTATAGGTCCAAAAATTGATTCAGAGGAGCCAATTTCTCTAGATAAATCTAAAATAACTTCTCATGTTGAATTGAAATTTTTATCACGCATAATGCGTATTGAGGCAAGCCAATAATGAAGTTTGAATGAATTGGAAATAATTCATTGATGATGATATTTGCATTTTTATTCACAAGGCTTTCATTACAAGCGACAGAATGAGGTTCTCACATCATTCAAGACAAAGACAGAACAACTGAACAACAAGACCTCAAACATAAACAAGACATTAACACGAAGTAAGTAGTAATTAAGTAGGACGACTCGATCTCTAATTAATGACTCGAGCAATTATATGAACAAATATATAGAGCAATATAGGTCGGGTAAAACACAAGTAAAATTGGCAGCCATCTCCTTATATCAGATAAGCCTCAATAATTTATAGAAATATTCTCTTTTGTAAGTAAGTACACAGCGTGTATCGGCCATTAATAATCCAAAGTGTGAAGTTGGTTATTACAAGGGCACATCACATTACCACCATTGCCCTCTCATATTTGAAGGGTAAGCTGTTATAATAAACCTCTTGAATCCATGGAACTATCTTCATAATTTTTTAGCACTTCACGAGTTACAATGATATAGTTAATACCCTTGTATACATTTTTTTAGAGATATCAGCGATATATTTCATACACACTCAACTACGTATACGCAAATTACTAAAAAATTAAGAAACATGACTTAAATTTAAAAATTTTTCGTTTCTTTGCAAACTTCATTTATGTTTACTATTTTGAATTAATTATTTATGCCTAAAAGGTCAGTCTTAGTCACTGAAGCAGTGCATAGACAGCAAGGAAATCTTATGGTCAATTATTGATTACGATTTTAGACAGAGGAAGTCGGGCAACCATTTTGTTCCCGATGAAAATATATCACTTTTGTTTTAATATAACAGAGTGGTGTTGCTAATTAAGTTCGAAATATCAAATGAAAAAACGATTTATTATATATTTATGATGATTTTCACAATTCATCCTACTTCATTCCATTCTTCGTTCGCCAATGGGGTTGAATGCTTGTTACGAAACAAAATGCTTACAATGCTTGTTAACGAAACAAAATATCTCACAGAAACTGCAGCTACTTGAATTTTGATTTTCAATTAGCAGACCTTTTCAATAAATTTCTAGGTATTCATGAAATATGTACTGTAAAATTTTGAGTTTATTTACTCGGGGTTACAGTGTTTTCACTGAATTAGCAAATAAAATGAAAACTATCCGGGCATGTAATCAATAATCTCAGAAATCGTACATCCATGCTGAATACCGAATTCTAATTTAATCTCGCGAATTCTTGCTGACTCGGTAGATTTCTAATCGAAAAGTAAAATCAAGTTGTACCTTTAATTCATATTCAGGAATCCAGAGTGCAAAGATATATACGCCGTGACACTAATTGTTGCATCGGCCATATTGCTGCTAAGGTTTTTTATCTGAACATAACATAACATAAGGTTATAACTTTTAGAATGACAGCCGGATTATATTTACCTCTAATGCCAAATTGGCACCGATTATCAGCTGTTCACATATTTAGTGTATTTCTGACATATATCGAATGAAGGTGAGCAAAACATTCAAACACTATTTGGTAAATGATTTGCTGTCGCCTGTTCAGTCGTTGATTCTTTGCTGATAAACCAAGCCAGTAGCTGCTGATAAATCAATCAAACTAGTCCAGTTCACCAAGCCAGTCCAGTTCACCAAGCCAGTCCAGTTCACCAAGCCAGGCCCAGCCAGTCCACTTCTACAGAAAAGTCAAGCTGCGGAGAGCTAGGAAGCTGCCCACGAAATCCAATCTGAGGTGTAGGCCACGCGATGGTAGATACCTGCGGGGAGAGAACCACTCAGAACAATCGACCAGATGCAACTTAGAACAGAAAGCCCGGGGACGTTCAATGGTTCTTTATACTATAATGCATATTATAATAGTTGTTTATTAAATTTACCTTATAGACTCAGGGCTGCTTTATAGCTTTCACGCACAGACTTCATTAAATCTAATTTTAATTCTCTCACTTATTTATCAGAGAGTAAAATAGTGAAGACAAATGAAAATGGAATTATTGTACACATTCGTGCTATATCTCAACCGGAAAAAAGTATATTAACTTCTGAGTCTCAGAGCAGAACCTTTTCATACAACAAATGCGGTCATCAGCTAACAACTATTGATATTTTTAAAGCAAAGCTAATCCTACACAAATTAAACAAATTTCTAAAAAAAAAAAAAACATTTTATCGTCATCTCCGTCGTCAGTGCAAAAATTCAAGAATTTAGATACACTATTCAAGCAATCGATTCACATTGATACTTAATATTTTGAACGCTAAAATTTTTCTGCATTAAAAATTTGCGCAGGTCACCTGGCTGCCGATCCCTGGCACAAGAGTAGCCGGCAGATACGATGCCTGCGAGGTACCAGCGTCCGTGTATCTGCATGTTCAGGGGACCTCCCGAGTCTCCTTGACACGAGTCTTTCCCGCCGTTCGTGTACCTGAAAAACCACCGCAACCAATTTAACCATCAATTAATAATTTTTGGTGCAGTCAAGTAATAAAATATAATGAATGAATTTTGTGAACTAGGCATGTCGGTCTAAATTTATCGTTTATTGAAAACTCCGATTACGATCGTAAATACAAGTTCAATTTAAATTAGATCATACCCAGCACACATCATCTCCTCATGTATGATGACATTGATGCCCTTCTGCCGATGCCACGACTCGCAGAGCTGAGAGTCGATCACGGGCACGTCTACGACCTGCAGGGTCTTGGGGCGCTGTCGCGATCCTACAACGCACGCAAGCCAACCAAATTATTAGGCAAGATTGTTCCTATTGTTATGCGAAGAAAAGCTCGAGAAATCGTTCTTCTAGAAGCTCAAAAAATCGTTCTGGAAGAAAAAACTCAATAAATCGTTATTCTATACGCTCAAAAAATTGTCCTGAAAGTAAAAGCTCAAGAAATCTTTCTGCCAAGAAGAGCTCAAGAAATCGTTCTGCAAAGAAAAGCACAGAAAATGGATCTGTAAAGAAGAGCTCAGAAAATCATTTTGCAAAGGAAAACTCTAGAAATCGTTCTGCATGGAAATGTTCAAATAATCAGGGCACCTCAGCACCCATTCGCACCTGCTTACCGGGCACCCCAACACTCAATCATATCTGCTTTCAGGACACCCTTTCACACCTGCTTGGAGGGCACCCGAACACCCAATCATACCTGCTTGCATTACACCCATTCACACCTGCTTACCGGGCACCTCAACACCCAACCATACCTGCTTGCATTACACCCTTCCACACCTGCTTGGAGGGCACCCCATCCTGCCGCCCAGCCGAAGTGTCCCAGGAAGTCGGTGCCCTTCTCAGGCAAGCAGATGGGTTGGATGTGCGGCTCGTAGTGCACCGGCACCTCCAGCCTGATGACTGCAACGTCGTAGCGGTCCGCTTGTGGGGTGAACTTGAAACGCGGGTGCACCTGTGGGAATACAATGTCAAATAATAGCAATTTTTATTAGCACTTCACTGAATAAACAATCAAATAACAACCGTTCTGCCAACACGTGTGCATCACTAGATAGCTGATCAAAAACTCTGATACTCATGCAAGGAAAAATATGTCATGTTCCGAGGGCATTTTTGATTTAGTTTCGGTGGTATAGCTAGGAAATAAATCTTTCCCTGCTAAACACAATGATATTAAATTCCATGGAAAAATTATTTTAGTTCTTGCATTGAATAAAGCTTGCAGACCTTTATATCGCTTGCACGATAGACCCTGGCGGGCAGCGGCTCTTGGTCTGAGTTGAGGATGTAGTCTCCGAGCGTGACTCGTATCTGGCTCGCCCTCGCCCTGCGCCCAGCACAATGTGGTAAGTTATTATATATTATATTATATTATATTATATTATACCATATTATATAATTGAAATAAATTATGCAGCTTACTTCTCCCGTGTACCAAAGATTTGGACCCTTTATGCAAGGCCAGCTAAGATAAAATTCAGTCCTTAACCAGAACTGGCACTGAAAGGAATTTTACGGCTCAATGAGGCTAAATAGCTATACAACACCATCAAAATATTAAAAGAATAATCGGTGTAATACTCACCTCGCCACACAATGTCCAGCTGTGACCACGTGAAATTTGTTGATGAGTGAGCCCCCGCAACGACTAGAACCGATCCTTATGTACGCCTGCAATGACATTCAGGCCCTCAATTTCCAGCTAATACTCAAGTTATATATTTCAATACTCTAGTTAGATGCTTATAACAATATTGTGGCCGCAGCGTTTGCACTTCACGCACCGCAATTGTTCGTTAGGATTAGTTTTCTTGGCCGCTCAGCCATCGCTTGCATACGACGCCTCCCGATGCCGTATGGCGAAAAGGCAGTTCATCAACTAGCGAAGTTGATTGCTTTATTGCGTACTGTGAAACTGTTCTTATAATCGCTTTTTACTTTTGTATTGTAGACCTATGCTAAATAATTAAAACCTTTTAGTTACTGTTGGCCTGCTGATTGTCATATTATTGTTGGACTGTTTGTCCAGTTTGAGGTTGTGCCAGCGGCCAAGTTGAATTAGATAATTCTTTTCTACATGTTAACCACTAGTATGAATAATCATTCAAAATCAACGTGAACTGAAGTCCAGTGTTGATCCATCGTATCCACTTAATAAAATCGAGAGAATTGATATTTTTTAAATATATACATATATTTGGAAACCAGAATCGAAGAAGAGTACTGTATAAATGAGTATAGAAAATTAAACATAAAAGTAAACAGTTTATCAACTTATATTTGACGACTTTTTTGACCTGCCATGGGAAGGAGCCGAAGCCCGCCTCTGTGCCGCCCACCACGCGCCTCTGAGCGCCGATCCTGCTAGTGTCGGTCAGTCCACAAGCTGCGCACAGTTGTAGCCATCAAGAATAATTTTATGGGAATTTTTGAGTCTACTTTTTATAAAAGTATAAATAACTTAATTCATAATTTCCGCTTCGTAATTTTCACCCAGGATAGTTACTCTGGAGCTCTTAAATGGCGGATAATTTCATACACGTGAGTGTTGTGTTGTTCCCCGTTATCCCGGGATAAACAAGTCATTATTATCTGATGATGTTATTATGAATTCGTGTGGAAACATCTAGGAATCGTTTTCTGACTTTCACCAAAATCGATATTAAAGTCGAATATGGACTCAATGGTGGCATTGCCACAACAAGCAAAGCTGAGGCAATTAAATAACAAATTATTATTTTCAATTATGGACTTATTTGATTATCAATTTATGTACCCAATTGAAAAAGTTTCAATTATGGACTTATTTAATCATGTCTTCAATTACACAAACCTGGGTCGTTGCGCACCGGCCCATGTTCCATAGGAATAAGTCCTCTAGGGTCATCCCTAAAGGGAGGCTGGCTGAAGGATCCAGGGTAGTGAGCGCGACCCGGTCTGTTGCAGCACGCGTATAGGAACCCTCCGCATCCTTCTTCGATAAGTCCTCCGCTGACCCAGCACATAAGGAAGAACTCGCACGAGCCGGAATAGCACATGTTCGGGTCGCCTAAGAAAAAGCGGCGAGTGGCAGCTGATAAGATGTTGCCTGCAAAACAACAATGCGCTCTATTGCACTATCTCATATGTTTCAAAATTTCAAAGACGATACATTTGCAGACGATGGGACTGTACAATGAAGAAAACGAACTCAGCTGAAATCGTTGGAGGTGGAGACCTGTGTGGAAACCAAGGCAGAATCGTGCAGCGAATGCCAGGCGCGGCTTTACCCTGAAGTTGTACAAAAATATGACCTCTTTTGTCCCATGTCAAAAGTTTGAAACCAGGACCATTGACTAAGAGTGCATGATTTGATTTCGTCTCCTGTTCAGCAATTGTCTTCTTTGTATAAAAAACTGATGTGTTTACTTGTCGCTTGAAACACGTCGGTTAGTCCATGTTTTTGATCGTTACTCGAAGTCAAGTTTCAACCACCGAAATAAAAAAAAATGCCGTACTCTTACAGAAGTGTTTAAGCAGCCGTTGTTAATGAATTTGACCCCATTAAATTCCACATTTTGAAAGAAGATTTAAGAATTCGAGCCTTTTGTTCCACGGATAATTAAATTAAGATTAGTACCAGAAAATAAGATTACGAATAAAAAAATCAAAATAACTTTATCAAACAGATAACTTTAGCAAACAGAGTAGATATTACATGTTCATTATGAAGAATTATTCGAAGACCAGTTGCAAAAATGAAACCTTCTGTACATGTTTACCATTAAATGACGCCCAATAAAATAATGGTGGTAGTCATCGTCCACTGCCACTTGTATGTTTTCATGATACGTTTGTTTAAGTTTGATTGATGATTGCTTAAGTATGAGTCTTAACTATGAATTAATAATAAAGAATTATGGAGAACGGTACAGATTGTAGCAGCAAAACATAGCAAATTTGTAAGAGGAAGGAGATTTCAATTAAATGCGCTAAAAAGCAGCAGTTTTAAGGTTAACATTTATTAGTTATGAGATTAATTAGTGTAAATCTGTTTGACGACAGTTTGAACCAAAAACAGGATTGATTGTCAGGTCGGTCAGTGACAATAAATTTATGATGAGTGAGTGCAAAACTAGGCAGTTATGGTGATTAAAATAATTAAGGTCTAATGACCAGTAAAATTAATCGTACGTTCTACCGTCAAAAGATTTTGTCTCTGACTTAACGAATGCATGAACGTTGTAGATGGCATTTCACAGTCAATGAAAATGAATTTTTTAAATGTTTGACGACTGTTGAATCCGATTTATGAACATTGCCATTCGATGGAGTTGACCGCAAGAGCTCCCCAGTTAGCTGTCATTTCTTTATCTCCCACAAACTTAACAACACAAACCTCTGATTTAGGATTAAAGGAGAAACGAAAAGTGAGTTTAGGGAAAAAAGTAAGCAAAAGCCCTGATTAAACTGAGCCCCGCTGGCAGGAAATAGCAAGCCTCACGATCGATGTCGGAATCATAGTCCCTCCTGTCAATCGTGTCCGTCCCGCCTGGACGTGGTGACCCACGCCGGAACATGGGACCGTCCCGGTGTCTGGCAACACCTGCAACGATGTTCAAAATGTCAATATATTTTTAATTTTCAGATATTTAATCCAATTGTGGAAAATTTTTTCCGAAAATAGGATATAATATTAGAAGAGAATTAAGGCTATAATTTGCAACCGAACCATGGGACCGTCCCGGTGTCTGTCAACAACTGCGAGGATGTTCAAAATGTCAATATATTTTTATTGTTAGGATATTTAATACAATTGTGTGAACATTTTTTTCCGAAAATAGGATATAATTTTAGAAGATTTGCACAAGAGAATTTTAGTTGTTCAGTCTTCGCTTAACATCGAATTTTTACATTTTGCCAATGTTACCCGTGTGGAACCACGTCTGAAGAGTGACTTGTTTTATTAAATCATATGGCTAGTTTCGCGTTATATAAAAAGACCAAATAAGATTTTTATTTTGTTGTCTTGAATAAACTTGAATATACAATGCGTTACCTGTGAGGGGTAGCGCCATAGGTTTATCGAGGTCCCCCCCAGGACCATGTAGCTGCGCATCTGCCCTGACCAGCTCCTCGAGGTGCTCCCTCGCCCCGTCCTCCAGCAGGCCGTACTCGTCAGCCAGCTGCGTCGCACGCAGCGCGTCAAGTTGGAAACTGCTCACCAACGAATTACGTTGAAAAATATAACTCAGTACTCACTGCAGTGAGTGACAGAAAGCGTATTTTGTAGTCGACGAAAACGTGAAGTCACGGACGGACAGATAGACGGACGGACGGACATGGCGATGACAATAGCGCCTTTTTTCCATAAATGAGAAAATGCGCTAAAAACGTTTAATCAAAGTTAAGTCAAACAAACAACGGTTATTTTATCGTTGATCTAACGTCAGATGTCTATTGGGCATATGGTCCCAATCTTGCTAACGGATATTCGAAACACCGAGGCACTTGTATCACGAAATGCAGCACGTAAATAACTAAGGCGCGCTATATCTTTTGTGCATGAATAAAATCAATCAATGAATGCAGTAAATTGGCCACGTTTTGTTGAATCAATGAGAAAATATAATATATATTAAAAAATAAGGCGTCATGTCAAGCATGCAAAACCATGTAGGAGCTATCCAAAGAATGAATTTTCAAAGAACATGTGTTGTTTTTATTAAAGGGGAACCGACAATAAATTAATCTTGCCGACCATAAATGCGAGATAGGAGTCAAAGGAACAAATCTTTTAATGGAGCCATCACCTTAAGCTTTTAGTGTTTTCATGTTTTTGTATGCGTTAAAAGTGACCGCTGTCACCTTTACATTTTTACCGAAATTTACAACACTTAATAAGTAACCAAGCATTAGATTTACGTCCGTCCGTTTTCGTCCCATATGAAGCTTCAAGGTTCATAATGCTTGCAAGAAACAGTGTAATATACTTACGTAAGTAGTATGTGCTCATTAAGTAATCAACCTATTCCATTGACTTTAGATTTTGAGGGCAAATAAAATAAAATACCATTAACTTAAAAAATAGTTAACATTAACTTTTAATTGAATAAAACATCCGATCTCTCAACCACTATGCTTCACCTTCGGAGAATATCGCCGAACTCTTCTGCAGTTAGCGTATCGTTCGGATGAATGTTATTGAGGAAGTCGAACTTGGCCTCACTAGGGAGCGAAGAAGTACTGGATGGCCCAACGCTGCTGGGGACAAGAGTGGGAGAGGAGGACATCATTCTAGGACTTCTTGTCCGCGGTCGTCCATCTTGCCTGCGGGTCGATGTTGTGGCCAAGGAAGATGTGTACGAAATCGTTGGACGCGTCGGGATGGTTCTAAGGTAAAAGGTTGGGGCCCGGGGAGGTAAACTGACTGCTGATGAGGCTGGTAATGTAATACTCGCCATGAAGCCGAGCAATAAAACAATAAAGAACTTTGTTGCTAAGGCATTAGTGAAATAATTTCTATTACGGAAGAAGCTTCGCTTTCTTTGGACTTGAATATTTTCGTCTACGCAATAGAAGTCGTTGTTATTTGAATCTAAATCCTGGGGCTCTGTGCCTCTTCTACGGCTTGGTTTGAAGTTCACCATTGCCCCTAACTTTTCGAAAATTGAAAAATTATCCTCTTCACAACATGGCTTATGTTTTGTGTTGTTATTAGTGCCGTAATAACCTAATCTAAGAATGTCTTCATAGATTGAGCAGCCATCTTCCTTGTTTTCTGTGGTAGCTAGCCTGTCAGGAGTGAGGATACATTGATTGGGGATAGGGACCCCCGAAGTGCTCTGGGGAGGAGCCGCCGAGCAGCGGGCGGTACTGCGTAGGTTGGGGAAGCTCTGGGGCTGCACAGGGGCTGTGGGTGACACTGCCGGTGTGGGGAGCGCGAGGATGCCGTGCTTGCCTGGCTGATCATGGCTCGGTTGAGGCATGACCAGAGCCTCTAAAACCTGCAAAAATAAATCTGATTACTTTTTATTCCTAATTTAGTCTAGAAAATGATTGCCAACATTGAGATTGAGTAAATCTTTAGCTTGCTTCTATTCTATTTCTTCGTATTCCTTAATAATCATTTTTTACTAATGACTGTAGTTTCCGCTATGTTTTATTATTGACAGGTAACGTTCCGAATGCATGGCTCGTACACAGTACATGAACCCTAATGCTCTACGCCTCTGATTGCACTATTATGACTCTGCTCGTTTACCTCGTTACTTTTGATTTTTAAATATTTTTGTGAAGATGTATTGGATTCGCTTCGCTACTTACAATGTCTTGGGTGTAAATAATATGTGTAGTTACCATACTACGATGCCGCTTCCCGCCAGCTCCTCATTGATCTGCAGGATAAAAATTATACTTATTAATACACACAGATAAAAGAAAATAGCAAAAGGAAACATTTATGGCTGAATCTATTCACATGTTACATGGAAGTAATTAAAGACTTTAAAAGCTTAAAGATTATATTATAGAAGATTAATTCTCTCTCGGTGCGCTCACTCCGATGTCACAATCTGTTGAGGACATCGAGCCGAAAACCTTTTAGCGAAAATATATTTTAGAAGCTCTTTAACAAATCACAATATTTTGAAAAACATAGACAATGATATACGATTTAGTTTATCGGTTTTTCCTTGGTTTCTAATCGGAACGCTGCTTAAAAATTTCTAGGCTCTGGTGCGTCATTAGTGAAAGCTGCAAGGATTGTTGTTTGCTTGACTTAGTAAGGATTTAAAATGAAGAGAAATTAATATGGGGACTTAATGCGGAGACTTAATGGGAAGAACTAATGGGGAGACATAATGGGGAGATTTGATAGGAAGACTTAATGCTAAGCTATAAGGTAACCATCGACTATAAGGTAACCATCGACTATGCTCTTGAATCCATTACAAAGATCTGATCGGCCGCGACCTGTACAGCAGATGTTGGATGGACAGAAGTATTTTTTTTTTAATTTTGCTGCAAACCCCGATTTATTTTTCCATGCTAAGTAAGCTAACCATGATTCGAAATAATATCCATGAGATAATCTTGCTCGAAATCTTAACAGTTGCTCTACTGAATGATTTTGATAACGATTTATTTCGGAGGAATTTGTGTCCAATTATTATTTACGTGAACAATTGATTGTGCACAAGTGAGAATTGAAGACCTGCAACAATGACACAATAATACTGCCAGCAAATGCCGACAAATTTCCCAGTGTGGCAACGCATCTTAATGGCTCATGAAAGTAAGCTTGTATTGCTGCATGTGTGGCGCAAGAAGGGAATTCACACTTTTTTCATCACGCTCTTCACTCGGTACACAGTGACTAGTTCTTTACTCTTTATTTATTTCAGTGACTAGTTCTATACAATTTACTAAGATATGCAACTAGTTCTTCACTTCTTACTCATTGTATAGCGGCTAAAATTTTACTCTTTACTCAAGGCAACGACTAGTTTTTTGTTCTTTACTTGGGTAATGGCAAGTTCTTTACTTCTTATTCAGGACTGTGACAAGTTTTTAAGCAACAAAATTTCCTCAGTCCTAGTACCATTAACTCAGATGTGTTTTTTCGTACGTGAACCTGTTTTCGGAGTCTTAATGCATATTATTTCATGTTTATACAATACTCTAACCCTTAAAAAAATCGCGGTAGAAACTTTATGTGCCAGAAATTTAGATAAATAACGTAGTCACACGTATACGACAATGTACCAAATTTTCTTCAGACTCGTTTTCATTTTCGCATGAAGTTTGTTTTCCTAAAATATTAATTCAGCTTCAAATATTCTTTTCAACGGTTATTTTGCCGGCAGCATTATTTCCAGGACTTTTTTCCGGAAATTTCCCACGTGCCAAAAGACGTTGAAACAACGTTCATAATAAGTTGATTTACCAAGTAACAACGATGATGTCAATGATGATGTAGATTTGATGTGTTGTGTATTTTTGTTTATGAAGTATTTTCTCAAATGTGCGCCTTACGCTGCTTATTACACCAAACATGTTGAAACAACGTAGTAGAATTAATTGACTTTGCGCACATATTTGCTCGATCTATTGCACTTTCTCCGACATCTGATTGTAAACTTTGTTTACTCTTGTTTTTTTGCCGCTCTCCCGTATTTTTATGAAGTTTGTATAAAATTTGAGTAAAAAGCACTTGGCAGTAATTCTAAGGGTTTGCTGAAACTAAATGCTAAATAGTACAGCAAAATAGTTGACAGCAAATTGATATAAAAGCGAACCTATTTTCCATTATTCATTATTAGAAAAAATAATAATTTACTTTACTTGTATCTGCTGTCAACTGCGATTCATCAATGTAGAGTTTAACTGGGAAGCCATTCGGTTCGCTGTCAACGGCTTTTTTAATAGTTTTAAATATAATGTACCTCCATTGTAGTGGCAGTAAACGTGTTTCATTTATTCATATAATACAGGTTAAATAATCATCTGTGTGTAACTGGAACTTATAGTATTCAAAATTTTGTATTGAATCAACTTCTGTGGCCAGTTTGCCGTCGTAGTTTTCTGCTTTATATAGTGGGAATTTATTGCATACCGGTATCTCACTCAGTTAACTTCATTTTCGTTAAAGCATTTATTAACGAAACCTCCTTCGCTTTCTAAGTAGTTGCCATAAACGGAAACCCTCTTGTATCAGTATTGTGGAATTTTTAAAACATTGTAGTATTTTTCATACCACTAGTGTTTCTATGTGTTTATCGTGTACTTTCATAATGAAACCGCAAGTTCCGTGATCAATAAAAAAATTATTTACCGGCAGCATCTGATGGCGACAATCGCTGCCCGAAAAAAATGCGCATTGTTTCTCCATCCAAGAATCACAAAAAAATCCAAATTGGAGAATACATTCGTAAAATTCATTTCCTGGACAGAAAATTCACACTTGATTTACGGGTAAATTCTCGAGGACACTCCAGAATGACCCTAAAAAATCAAAGTATCGAATGTTATATAATATTAAGCCATTAATGCAGTTAAGTTTTGAGAGAATCATTTCATAAATCATTTTATTTTATTATGCATTTTGAAATTTTCAGTTATTCACACAAATAATGGATTGACTGTTTAAACACGTAGCATTTTTCCCCGCGCTCTGCCACTCGCTCACCATACAATTACAATATTCTGGCCCGTTCTATGAGGTATTCATTGCGTAATTATTTTACTTCAAATAGCACTAACAAAGCAACAGTAAAGACAAGCTCGGAGAAAACATGGAGCTTACGATTTGACGCCTAATAGAAAGTTACAGCTGACGGTCATCTGAAACCAAAAAAATTTGCGTACAGGTTCGATGTGACGTAATATATATTGATTTATTTTTATTAATAATCTTATATTATTGAAATCCGTCGCTATTACTTGCTTTTTACCTGCCATGATTTTAGGCGATTTATATATCTATCCGCCTTCATTTAAACAAGATCCATTAGAAATCATTCAGTATAAACGCATTCGGACTCGCAACATTCAAAAGATCTCTCAGAGCTACAACAACCGCATGTTAGGGGGAACAAGTGCTGGGGTTTATTAATCGAAACCTAATAGGAAGTCTAATCTATAATCAAGTTTAATCATAATATGGTCAATACGGTCATCAAAGCCAAAAAAGTCTTGCAACAGAAAACTTGTTGTAGCACAAGATTCCAAGACCCAAGCGAGTGGCAGCACCTGAAGAGTTTATACTTTTATCTCGGGATGAACCTGGATTGTCCAACATCATACAATGCATCACTTCATTTCTCCTGAAATTTATTTCAGATCCGCAGAGAACTCATTAACCATTAATTAATGATAATCTACTTAGTAACGTTCGCTTTCACTTGGTTTCGTCAATCAAACATAAATTTAATTCTTAATCTTCAAGGTCAACCGAAATCAAGGTATATGGTTCTTGTCTTTGCTAGGACACTAGAACGAACAATTTCTTAATAAATAAATTCCATGTGAATCGTGCAGTTTTCTCGTAGACAATCGCCGTTGCTACGACTCAACACACAGAATAATCTCACTTTCAGTGCCATTCTTAGAATGAATCTTGACTTACCGGCACTTGTGTCCACTTGTACAGTCAACATCATTATACACCATACACATTCGCTTATCGGTATTTATTTATTGAGCTGCAATGCAATAGGAATAATATTAATACACAAATTAAGGTAATAGTAATATAGTAATATCATAATAATCATAATATCGTAATAATCATAAATCAAGGTAAAAAAGCACCGAAGGATTTAGTTATTAAAATTTTAATTTGAAATCACTGCTATATCAATTTGCTCAGATTCTAATAAAATAAATTAGCAATAAATACTGCTAAAGTAACTGCCAATGGCTCAAAAAAGTCGCACCAATATTTATGAATATTTATCTAAATATTCACCTATACTTGGTACTTTGTTATGCGCAACTGACGTGTGAATGACTTGCAGATTTTAACGCGGCATATGGCCGTACTTTCATTTGGCGATCAAAAAGACGCGAGTAAAAGTGATTGCGAAGCCAGCGTGTATTTTATGAAACTTTCTTGGTCTTGATCGGGAATTTCATAACAAGACATTAAGTGATCACTCAGACAGCTTAGCTCGTCCTCGCACATAACATTTTTCATGACAGTTAAGCAACGAGAACCTCAAACAGTTTCATTAATTGCACTGAAGCTTGAGGCAGGGATGACTTGGCGCACATTTGCCTGATTTACTTGCATATAAAATATTGATATTAGAAATAATTATAGTTCAGTTTTTAAGATCACCAACTTTTGTTCTCAGCATGATCCACTTGAGACAGCGAGTTGTAAAAACTGACATGGCATTTACTAAATTATTTTTAATGTCGCAACCGCTGCTTAGAATTCATCTCGCTGCTCACATTAACGTATTAAAATAATTATAATTAACAATGGGAGGTTATAATGACACCAGAGTCGTGTTGAGACGAACACGTCACGGCGTTCGCAGGTCTGACGTTGCGCCACCGCGCCGACGCGATGCGAAAGTAACGCGACGTCGGTGCGTCGAGATCGACTTCAGATTGCCAGGTCGTCGTATTTTCCAAACGTGAGCATATATTTGTGATCGTTCGAAAGAAAGTTTACGAGGTTGAAAGAAGACAGTACTCTCCTCTGTCTGCTGTGCGTGTATAGTACGCTGCTCAGCCGATTGGTTTCATAATAAAATCAAATTAATTCATTGGTTGAAAATTAAGAAATACATGAAAAAACCAATGAACATTTAAATCAGACTTTTTCATTTGAAATTTTTAACGATACGAGTCAGTGGTTATTTTCTTTTTCCTTGTGTTACAACGG